CAACAAAGTTGGTCAAATTCGGAAGGCCACGAGCTTTGTTCCAGATTCGAAATTTGCAGTCACGAAGTCTGGAAATGGGGAAAAGACCTAAATAGTAACATGAAGCCTCAGATTGACAATCTAAAAAGGCGCCTGGAAACTCTTAGGCCAAGAACAGACATCCACAGCATTCAGGAGTTTTCTGCAGTACAATCCCAATTCTTAAACCTCTTGAATAGACAGAATCAATTCTGGAAGCAGAGGGCGAAATTATTTTGGCTCAAAGGAGGTGACAACAACACAAGGTTTTTTCACAATGCTGTAAATCAGAGAAAACGGAACAACGAGATCCTAGATTGCGTGATCAGAATGGCAATTGGGTTTCTCATGGCCCTCAACTAGACTCTCTGGTAAGGGATTATTTTGTGAATATTTTTACTTCTGATGCTGGAGATTGCAACCCTGTTTTGAACTGTATTAATCCTAGTATTACTAGCTCAAATAATAATATGCTGCTTAGAAGATTTACTGCATCCGAGATTAAAAAGGCAGTGTTTGGCATGCACCCCGATAAGAGTCCGGGTTTTGACGGTTTCAATCCCGGATTCTTTCAATCTTACTGGGATATCTTAAGCCAAAGCCTTATTGATTTTTGCAACTCTTTTTTGGATTCCGGGAAGCTACCGAAGGACATAAACATCACACAGATTGTGTTGATACCAAAAAAGCCTGTACCGGAGACTATGGCGGACCTCAGGCCAATTGCTCTATGCTCTGTAGCTTACAAGATCCTTGCTAAAGCGTTGGCCAACAGATTGAAAGTTTTATTGAATAATTTGGTCTCAGTGAATCAAGGTGCCTTTGTTCCTGGCAGACTGATCACCGACAATATAATGATTGCATTTGAGATGCAACATTATATGAAGAGAAAAAGTCATGGAAAGAATGGTATTGCAGCTCTCAAGTTAGACATCAGCAAGGCTTATGACAGATTAGAATGGTCCCTGCTTCGCAATATTATGGACAAAATGGGTTTCGATGCTAAGTGGATCAACCTAATAATGGAGTGCGTATCCTCGGTTAGCTACTTTGTGCTGAATAAAGGGAAGGAAATAGGTCCAATCATACCTCAGCGGGGATTAAGGCAGGGAGACCCGATCTCTCCGTATTTGTTCATCTTGGTGGCTGAAGGTTTTAGTGCGATGATTAGGGATTATGAGAGCAAAGGCAGAATCCATGGTCTTACGGTGGCAAGGAATGCACCATCCATAAGCCACCTTTTCTTTGCCGATGATAGTTTTATATTTTTTAAGGCATCAACGGAGGAAGCAAACAATATGAAGCAGCTTATAAATGACTATGAGATGGCATCAGGCCAATGCATAAATTTGACTAAATCCACTTTGGCTTTTAGCAGAAATATCCCTGACTATCAGAGAGACCGGCTTAGTGATATTTTGGGTATCCATCACAGTAGCAGTAGTGGAAACTATTTGGGGCTCCCTATGATTATTGGCAGGAACAGGACAGAAATCCTAAGCTTCATCAAACACCGCATTGTCAATCGCATCCATGGGTGGAATCACAGATTCATCTCTAAAGCAGGGAGAGATATTCTCTTGAAATCTGTTCTCCAAGCACTGCCAACTTATGCCATGGGGGTCTTTCTCTTGCCGAAAGGTCTAATCAATGCTGTGGAGACCACCATGAATTCTTATTGGTGGAAAGGGGGAGGAAGTGACAGGAGAGGCATTATTTGGAAAAAATGGAAATCCTTGTGCAAGCTTAAGAAATGGGGAGGACTCGGTTTTCGGGACCTTCATAATTTCAATCTAGCTCTCCTAAGCAAACAAGCTTGGAGAATTTTCACTGATCCCAACTCCTTGGTCTCTAAAGTCTACAAAGCAAAATACTATCCTAACTCTTCCTTTCTTGATGCGAAGCTAGGTGCCAATCCTTCTTTTATTTGGAGCAGCTTAATGGCTACACAAGAGATTATTCGCAAACACTCAAGATGGAGGATAGGAAATGGATCGTCTACTTGCATTTGGGGAGATAATTGGCTGCCGGATAACAACAACCCAAAGATTCAATCGTTTCCCTACCCGCTCATGGAGAATTCCAAGGTGGAAGATCTTATTGATCCCAATACTCATGACTGGGATGAATCCACCATCCGGAATATTTTCACATCCAGAGATGCGGACTTGATTATGAGGATACCCCTATCTAGTCAACACATGCAGGACAAAATTATTTGGGGCCCTGAAGATAACGGCAGATTCTCGGTCAAAAGTTGTTATAAATATATTGGTGGAGAGCTAATCATGGAGGATACAAAGAAATGGAGCAGGCTATGGCAGTGTAGAATTCCTCCAAAAGTCAAAACTTTCCTATGGCAAGCGTGCAACTCCTGTCTTCCCACCAAGGACAATCTAAGAAGGAAGCACATTGACTGCAATGCAAATTGTAGTCTATGCAGAAACGGAACTGAGTCAACTTTGCACCTTCTTGCCGATTGTGACTACGCCAAGTCTTGTTGGAATTATCTTCAGTTCTATACTCTTCAATCTGATGCAGATAATTTCCAATCGTGGCTGAGTAACGCACTGGATATCCTATCTGATGAACAGTTCTGCACACTCTCCATGGTTTGCTGGAGTCTTTGGAACTTAAGAAACAACATTGTGTGGCAGAACAAGCCCTTAGAGCCGATGAGCAGTTTGATTTTTAGGACGAGGACGTACTACTCAGCCTGGAAAGCAGCGACTACGGATATTCACATCGCTCGGAACACAGCAGCACCTAATGATCACTGGAGCAAACCACGGCAAGGCTACTTGAAGCTAAATGTTGATGCAGCCATTAATGTTGAGGGTGGCTGCATGGGCTTTGGTTGTATCCTGAGAAACGATCAAGGGCTCTTCGTTGCAGCTAGGGGAGGTCACTGGAGAGGCACTTTTACACCTAAAGAGGCAGAAGCAATGGCCATTCGAGAATCTCTATCATGGCTCAAATCTTTTACAGGTGGCAATATTATCATCGAGACCGACTCCCAACAAGTTGTCCAGAGCTACATAGCAGGGAATGGAGAGTCATCCTTTCATTTGATTCTTGATGATATCAAAAACTTAATGAGTCTGTTTACTCATGCTAGTTTAATCTTTACTAAGCGATCTGCGAATCAGGCAGCCCATCTGTTAACTAGGCAGTCTGCTTCTACATCTGGTTGCTCGGAGTGGTTCACGAACCCTCCCTCTATCATTTGTAATACCCTTTATTTGGATTTGAATTAATGCATGCGTTCTTTGGTTTTCAAAAAAAAAAAGAATGCAGGTGAGCATGAGTTTCCAAAAAGGGTGCGAGGGCTAAATCATAGAATGAGAGACAACAGCACACATGAAAGCTGATAAAAGATGCTTTGAGCACAGAAGAAAGATATGGTGAAAGATTTGTTTACCCTTTCCCTTTGTATTTGATAGATTTCAGGGTCTGCAACGTTTGTTTTATGCATGGAGAAGGCAAAAGGATTCACGAGACTCTGGTCTGATCTGATCTGATCTGATCTGATCTCATCTACCCCTCTAGCTCTAGGATGACAATATAATGGAAGTCTGTGATGATGTGAAAGATGGCAAGTTTGATTCATCATTCAAACCGTTCAACAGCAATATTATTAGATGTGCTCATTGGCAGGAGCGGAGGTCATTAACGTCTTTACAAGAATATTTCTTGACCATAGAAATCGTAGTATACTGCTGGCACGAATAATTCAATTGGTTCTTGAGTACTAGATTATAAGAGTTATACTTAATGTGATGTACTCCTTGTGGGGTATTAGACACTGTCATCCCACTTTAATTTGTAAAGTATGTTAAATATTCTTACTTTTATTATTAGTCTTCCCAAATCGATTCTAATTTGCATGTTCGGGAGATTTTGAGGAAAACATGCATGTAATTTGGAAATTTGGATAGACTAATAATAAAAGTAATAATGTTTAATTTACAAAGATAATTAAAAAATACGTGTTGAATGTAAAAACATAAAGTTGCTCGTTGGCTAGTTTATGCAACTTAAGGGGCCGTTTGGTTCACGGAATGTTAGATTACCTTAGGGAATGTAAGATTACCTTAGGGAATGTTAGATTGCTGGGAATGTTAGATTACTGGGAATGTTAGATTCCCGTGTTTGGTTAAAATTGAGGTATGTAATATTATCATGTTTGGTTTAGGGTTATCTTTATATATATATATATATATATATATATATATATATATATATATATATATATATATATATATATATATATATATATATATATATATATATATATATCTAATATCCTTAACATATTTTCATATATTTTAATAAATTTAATCATTAAATTAAATAAATAAGATAACGGTATCATATTAATAATAATAATAATAAGCTAACATAAAATATATATCTTTAAATAATTAGAATTAAAATGACAAAATTCATAAATATGCAAGGTTATCTTACATTACCTAACAAAATGAAGGGAATCACATTCCCTTCAAAATCCTATGTGGAGGGAATGTTACATTCCCTGGGAATGTTATATTCCCTCAGAGAAAATGAACCAAACATAGGAATGTAAGCTCGGGAATGTCACATTCCCTTGGTTATATAATATAACCTGAACCAAACGCCCCCTAAATGTTAAGAATTATTAAGCTTCTAGTACGATTTGACACTCTTTTAGTGTAATTTGCAAGTTATTATACATGGGTGAAATTTACCACATGACGCCCATGTACACCTTTGCAATCATTATATCGTGAACCAATACCCACCATGAATATTGCAGACCAAATTATGAACATACAATTAACATACTGTGTACTTTTAATTATCAGATTGTGTACATTTAGTTATTATGTGCATTTAGTTATCATATTATGTATAATATAGAATGTACATAATATGTTAGCTATATGTAAATAATTTGGATGAAGATTCACAATGCACATGGTGGACCCTGATCCACGATATAATTTGCAACACCATCAGGTAGTGACTGCAGCTTTCTCTTCATCCAAAAAAAAAAAATTATTGTTTTAAAAAAACAAAAACAAAAAGACAACAGAATCAAGCATCAGTTTTACAAGAAGTACAAAGATTCTAAGGGGAAACACATATAATCCTCTGACCTCCAAGAAATGTTGTGGACTACATTCTTAACAAGTCAAACAAAACCTCAGTAGATTCCTGGTACTATCCGGTATGGAACCTTTTCACAATACAATTTCCAGTACTTGCCATACCTGCACAGCATCAAATTTTGATCACACTCAACTTTTTAAGAATATTACCCAAACAAATTTCGTTATCGAAGATTGAAGCGTTTAGGAACGCAATCATATCTAGCTTTCTTCTTGTTTCGATATCTAGAACTATGCTTGTTCTATTCCTCAAACACCTGAAGATAACTTCCTATAAACGTCATTCGACGAGTAAACATTTTAAAACTCTCCTGGACATCGGTTTCTCGGGATGCCATCTTTAACCACCTTCCAAATATCTACACTCATTCACTATCTTTTCTCGTCATTAGCGCAACGTGTATATTCATTTCATTCTCGAATGTGAAATAAGGCAAGATATAAAAGAAGATTGACAAATGGCAATCTCAACTTTGTGTAAACCTGGTGTTTCCATATGAAGGGCACCCATACATACAAGAAAAACACTTTAAAACGAGGGGAGATTACTTACTTTGATCTGCATCGGTCATCATCCCTCTTGGCTCGATCAAAGAGTAGGATGGTGAGAAATATGACATAGAAATAAGGAAGAAACTGCAAACAGATGGAGGAAAAAGAGAGAACAGCAGATTAAATTTCAGAAAAGTGGGTGAGTTTTGGAAAGGAAGGTGCATTATTGCTAAATAACATATGAAATATAGTAAAATATTTGTCTTGTCTCACATGGTTGAAAAGAGCTGGAACAGTCCAGAAAAAGGCAGCAGATATTTCAGGGACATAATGGAAGTGCCGAGCTAGACCCCACCTGAAAAATAGTTTGAGACGCTATAAATATTCTGCATGAAGTATGCTAAATAAATAAATTATCAGAATAGCAATATCAACCATAGCCTGTGCCTAATATCAGAATAGACCAAATGCTACATCATCATAATATTCATGGAAAGCAGAACTCAACACACATCTCATAAGAAGAAACCTCTTTTTGTATGATAAAATAAAAATATCGCAATTACAAATTACAAACAGGGAAAAGAGAAATACCATCCTGATGTCAGCAGAAGGCTTGTTTTGGTTTCACCTGAATCTGTTTTATAAGAGGCAACAATCTACAACAAAAATGAATTTTTTAATCATTAGATTTGGAAACACCGTAACAGGGGAAAAGTAAAATTTTATGGCAAGGAAGTCCTGGTTGCTGCCCCCTTTTATTACCTTTGATGGAGCTTTTCCCCAAATAGTGCATTTACCATTTGTTCTACGAAATTCTTGCCTCTGCCTGTCACAATCATAGTTGATATATATGCAAAGGATGCCAGCAACAAGAATATAAAGTGCAAGCTGCAGGAAAAGAATGAGCTGGCTCGTTAGAAGCATGAAAGTTGGATGGTATTTATCTGAGATATGAATATTCTAAGGAACAGAAGACATGCCTGAAGTCCAAGATCTACAGGATGTTTGACGAGATACATTCCAGGAGAAGTATAAATAGATGGAACCCAAACCAAGCATCCCCAACATATATAAAAGCCAGCTGCAAAGACAACATGCAGATGCCAAAAATTGTTATATCATCCATGGTTAAATATATAAATGAGGGCCCAAGATGAGAAAATGAACAACTGAGAGAAATATTTGTAGAATTGGAAAAACAGCAATAGAACATAGAAACCTCTGTCATGAGCAATATCCATTGTGTTCCAGTACCCAGCTTCCCACCAGAAGAATTTTGTGACGTACACCAACATCAATACAGTATTCACAAGCATGGAATCAGAAACTCTTCCATATTCTTCATACTGAGAAGCACAAGATATAAATGTCAAAAATCAAAAGGCAGTGAAAATTTTTACTGTTATCTTCAACACAAAATAAAAAAAAAAAAAATTGCATATTCATTATTAGATCGAGAATATCAAGATTTCAACTCTTACCTGTTTTATGCAGTAAGTCACAGCAAGAACTCCCCAAGACATCATGCCAAATCTGCAGTTTGTGAAAACTTTGATATCAAAGTGTTTGCCAATACGAGGATATAGCTCCATCCCCTGCAAAATGAAAAATATAGCAGCTCTAAATTACATGACAATATACAGATATGCTATAGTTTTAAAGTGCATTACTTAATCGGTACTTTAATGGGTTCATTCTAAATCTAGTTATTCTATCATATTTAAAAAAAAAAAAAAAAAAAAAAAAAAAAAAAATTGCTCCAATAAAAGAATAACTATGAATAGAAATAAACATCAATTGGGAAAAGAAAGAGTAAAAAATAAATGAATAAATAAACAGAAAAAAGCAGTGAAAATGGCATTTTTATTGTAAATGTCATGAATTCAAAGAAGCTTTACCCAGTAGAAGTCAATAATTATGTTTCCTGATGAACCAGAATCAGAGGAAGATGGTGCAACATGACCCTAGAGTATAAGAAGGTGCCAGAAAGGAATTATAACTCAGAATTTAAATTCAATGCATAAATAACTAAGCATAGTTATACACACGCACTTTAATGTATAAGAAAACACAAAAGATAAAGCTTCCGAAAATGAGTGTGGAGTATATCTCTCCCAAATGGTCGTAAACGATTGAAGGATTGAATATCCCGAACCTGATCAAAAGCACAAAGCAAACACAAACAATATATAATATGTTAGAGAGCTTGGAAATTCTTTTGAACATAAAATAGCATTAGCAACAACAGACCGTTTAAATAATAGAGGACTAATCCATATGCAAGTTAGAGATATCAAATAATTTTGGAAAAGTTCTTACCACCAAAGGCCGAGATATGTAGCCAACGTCACTGCATATGCTAGCACACCATTTGCCTAAACTCATAAAGAATGCTAAATCAGTGCAAAAGCGTCATAAACAATGTGAAAAACAGAATAAAGTCATCATCCTCAAAATCTAAGAAAGGAAGTGATTAATCAACTAAACCTCAAAGTACATTATCACACAAATAGGTGCCTAATAAAAAACCCTAGATCTCTTACACTGATCACTACATACCTTGTATACAGGCCTGTTTCCAGTGGGAGAAATCGGTCCCTCGTGCCTCTTCCCAGGTAATAGAAGCTGAAGAGCAGCCTCAAAGATTGCATAACAAGCAATAATTTTGCAAGCAATTGCCGTAGGTCTCGGCCAGATTTCGAGTAATCCTTTCAGACCATTCTGGTGCAGGTAATTCCAAGTTTGCAATACAGAGCCATCAGCATGTACCATAGTATACCACCTAGATGATTCACATTCAGGTACAAACAATAAGTTCTCGATCGTCATGGACATTTCTCATAAATTTCATTAATTAATTATCAATCTAAAGCACTCTCCATGGATCAAATAGATATTTTAAGAAAGCTAGCTGGTTTAGGTAGAAAAAACAAAGCAATTAACAACCAATCCAAGAGTTTTCCATGTATTACGGTATTGATTATTGAAATTAATGATTATAAAAATAAATCAAAGAGATCTGAGAATCACATACAGTAGAATGACGAAAGGAGGGCAGGAGATGAGCAGAGAGAGAACCGATGCATATGTCACCAATGGCGAGTGCACTAACGTCGAGTCTTTCGCCATTGCTTAATGTCCGATCGGCTTCCGCCTCTAGGAAGTCAAGCCGCCTCTAATAACTCCTCTTCCGCCGTGAACTGAGCAGCGTGTCTGGGTGGCAAAGCAGTGGCGATAGGCGAAGACGACGAGAAGACGCGACTCTCACTGAATCAGATTCCAATGAAATGCTTAGCTCCAATTTTTCTTTGCCAGTCAACTCCACTCACTATTATAACATTCCAACATTTGTCCCCGAAATTTTCAGAAATTGCGAAAATGCCAAGATATTTTAGATGACATATGACAATGGGCAAATATTTGAAAGAAAATTTTATTTAAACATATTTTCTAAAATTAAAAAATATATTATTTCAATTTATAAATAATCAAATATTCAACATAGTATAATATTTTATGTTATAAATTTACACAAATATCAACTAATAATTATCTAATACTATTATTTTTTTGAAACATCTACAAGGCGTTTGGTTTGAGGGATTTTAAATTCTCTTCCCACTTAATTTCCATCTAATTCCAAAGGTCATTAAATTCCGTAGTTTGGTTGGAAGGAATTGCAATTCCCCCATTTTCATGGAATTAAAATCACATGTCCCCCCTGGGATTTTAATTCCTGGGAAAAAAAAAGTAGTGATGAGTCAAAATTATCCCTTCCTTTTTTAACCTAAAATTAATGTCTAACAACAATAATGGACATTTTTGAATTTATACTACTTATTCCCTTTCAAATCCCATGTATACCAAACATTGGAATTGAAATTCCAGTAATTTTATTCCTGTCAACCAAACACTGGAATTTAAATTCCCACTTTATTCTCAGTAATTCAACTCTTATGAAATTACAATTTCTTTCCCACATAATTCCCCCCTCCAACCAAACGCCCTGCTAATACTGTTATTAAAAACTCATAGATGTGTAGAAGAGATGGCGTGGATCTCTTCCAGATGAATAAGAGGTCTAGCCATGAGAATGTGTTTTTCACCTTTTGAGATCCAACCTAACACGAAAAAAAGTAGTCTTAAAGAATGAGATCATATTGTATTGTATATGTGATCGGGCAAAGACAATGATAGTATTAACTAGTTTTATATAAGTAAAACAACTAATATAATTATCCTGTTAGATCAACTAATACAATTAATTAATTCGTAATAATTAATGATTAATTGCCAAATCGGGTTTGCTGCCGTGAGAAGGTGTTTTTCACCCTTTGAGATCCAACCTAACACGAACAAAATTAGTCTCAATGAATGAGATCCTATTGTATTGTATATGTGATCAGGGCAAAGACAATGATATTATTAACTAGTTTTATATAAGTAAAACAACTAATATAATTATCCTATCAAATCAACTAATACAATTAATTATTTCGTAATAATTAAGGAAAAATAGCACTTTTTCTCCTTGAGTTATATACTTATAGCACTTTTTTCTCCTGAGTTATATACTTATACCACTTTTTCCTCCTAAATTATTCAAGTGGCTTTTTTTTCCCCTGAAATGTTAAATGGACATTTTTACCCTTAAAATAAATATTTTATTTATTTTTCTTCAACAAATTATGACTACGATTCGGTTCAAACCGAACAGACACTATAGCAACTAAATTGAAACATTCCAATTACAATTTAGAATCAAAACCTGATATTTAGAGTTTATTAAAATCGCGAACCGGAACAACCAGTTCATGTTCCGAACTGAAAAATAAAATAAAATACATTTATTGTTGAATTTAGACTATTTTAAAAATAAAAAATAAAATAAAATAAAATTTTATAATAAAGACGGTTCAAAATCGCGAACTGGATCCGGAGCTGCCGGTTCACGATTCAGGATCTAATTTTTTTCGATTCATAATTTTAATAAACTGAAATTCAAATATTGGGTTCTGGATCTGAATCATAACCGGAAACTTTCAATTCGATTGCTATAGCTTCCGGTTCAGTTCGAATCGACCGTAATCATCCCTACGTATAAGCAATAATTTGTTGGAGAAGAAAAATAAATAAAATATTTACTTTAAGGGTAGAAATGTCAATTTAATATACCAGGGGGAGAAATCGCCACTTTTAAAATAATTAAGGGGGTTAATGTGCTTACATGAACAACTCAACGAAAAAATGTGCAATAATCATATAATTCAGGGGAAGAAAGTGTCTTTTCCTTAATAATTAATGATTAATTGCCAAATCGGGCAAAGACAATGATATTATTAACTAGTTTTATATAAATCTATCTATATATATATAAAAGTAAAATCCTCCTACCAAGTTTTCCCCCCAAAACTTAGTGGCATTTTTGTAATAATAATAATAATAATAATAATAATAATAATAATCTATCTATATATCTATATCTATATATATATAAAAGTAAAATCCTCCTACCAAGTTTTCCCCCCAAAACTTAGTGGCATTTTTGTAATAATAATAATAATAATAATAATAATAATAATAATAATAATCTATCTATATATATATATAAGTAAAATCCTCCTACCAAGTTTTCCCCCCAAAACTTAGTGGCATTTTTGTAATCTATATCTATATATATATAAAAGTAAAATCCTCCTACCAAGTTTTCCCCCCAAAACTTAGTGGCATTTTTGTAATAATAATAATAATAATAATAATAATAATAATAATCTATCTATATATCTATATATCTATATATATATATATATATATATATATATATATATATATATAAAAGTAAAATCCTCCTACCAAGTTTTCCCCCCAAAACTTAGTGGCATTTTTGTAATAATAATAATAATAATAATAATAATAATAATAATAATCTATAATCTATAATAATAATAATAATGTTATTACCTCAACATTACCTTAAATAAATAAATTATTATTCTTTCCTTTTGAATTAGTATTTTCTACCTATAAATACAAACTTATAATTCTTCTAATCTCTAGCCTCCCCCATCAATCAAAGAATCTCAGACTTATTTTTCTGCTTTCTTTTCGTATGATTTTTTTTTTTTATATTTTTCTAACTATATTCTTCAGTACTTCAATAGGTTTTGCAGGTTATATCTCTGGTATGAGCTTGAAGATACGTAAGGATGCTCTGCTTCAACAAAAGAAAATTGAGGAGGAAGAGCCTTGGTAATAGAACCCTAATGGTTTAGTTTTTATGAAAGATTGTAGAGATACGATCGAGAATAATAACGACGGTAAAATCAGATCTCCAACTTCACAATGATATATATATTTTAAGAGTCTACATTAAAAATATATAAGAGAGAACATACATGTTTATTAGATGTGTGAAAACTCTAATATTGTGAGTTGATATAATGATTGTAGGTATTTGGAGTGGTGATGAAGCAAAGAAGAAGAATGATTTGCCATGCAAGACAAATAAGGATTGTGTAGCTCCCTATCCTTTGAGTGCTTTTGCTATTGTGACCATCTTGATATTTTCTTTTTCTTTTTTAATTTAGTACACGACTGATGTATGATGCCATGCTATAGTTTGTTAAATACAAAGAATGCAGTCATCTCAAATCTATTTCGTTTCCCCCACATTGTACTATGTCGTATATCATGGTTGGATGATTAGAGTAAAATTATTGGTACAAGTTTTTTTTTTTTTTAAGGTTTCCTAGAATAAATAAAAAAAAAATAAATAAAAGCAGGGTGATTGACAGTTAGCAGCCACCCAATACTTTCGGAGTTGTCCTTTTTAACTTTTAAGAAAGGAGTTGTACTATATAGACTCACTGCTTTTAGTACAATATTATTAGTAATTAATGTATAATATTATTAGTACAAAATCAATTTTACCTGCCTTAATAATTAATTATTAATATTATTGCCTAATAATTATGTATTGTCACCTTTTCCGGTGTAATTATTATGGTAATTTACATACATATATATTTTTATACTTAATATATAATATGATTGGCACAAAATAGATTATACTTACCATAATATATAGATTATTTTTTAATATAATTTCCTAATTTTTATTAAGGGTAATTATTCTCATAATTTTTCTTTCATTATTTTGTGTAATTATTATGGTAACTTTATGGTAATCTATTTAAATATATAGGGTGATTTAATTTAAATAATTTAATTTAAAATACTATACTATAATAACGAATTATTATTACTATAATAATTACTATAATAATAATAATAATAATAATAATAATAATAATAATAATAATAATAATAATAATAATAATAATATTAGCAGTAGAAAAAAAATGAAATGAAAACGGGATTCAGTTAATAATAATAATAATAATAATAATAATAATAATAATAATAATAATAATAATAATAGTAATAATAAGGTTAATTAGCAGTAAAACATGAAAATATAAAAGGAGAGTAATACTAATAATTTGTTAGGAGTAAAAGTAGGAAAAATAGAAAAGGAAATGAAACTAAAATAAATGTACAATAATTTTGGATATAAATTATTAGGTTAAAAAGGAAAATATAAAAGGAGATTAATACTAATAATTTGTTAACAGTAAAAAACATAGAAAAGGAAACCAAATTAACTAAAAAGGAAAATGATACCAAAAATTCACTAATTAATAATAATTTAAATTTCTATAATTTCTATAATCAATACGGAACTAATTATATGGAGAGGATAAATAATTATTGAGTAAGTAATTATTTAGATAAGTGCTGACATATTTTATTTTATGGAAATATATTTTTTTCATTATTTAGCCAGCATAATATAAGTTAAATATAAATAGTAATTATATGGAAAGGATTGCCACTAATTATGGAGAGGATTGCCAGCCAGAATAATATGAGTCAAATAAAAATGGGAGCGTAATCAATAGGTAAATAATGACATATTAATTGGATTGCCAGCCACCACAATAGGGTAATGAATAATAATAATAATAATAATAATAATAATAATAATAATAATAATAATAATAATAATAATAATAATAATAATAATATAATAATAATAATAATAATAATAATAATAATAATAATAATAATAAATGATATTACAAAAATGTCCCTATGTTTTGGGGGAAAAATTTTTGTGTCAACCATTTTGCTTTAATATATATAGAGATAGAGATAGAGATATAGAGATAATGATATGCCTCTGATTAGAGTTTATATTTATTCATACAAAATTTAGAATTTACATTTTTATTGATTTTTAA